GTGAGAGGTTTGTTTTCTCGGGCGTTTTGACTCTGGGGAAGGAAGTTTTTTTCCCATGGGCGGAAATTGTGACCGATGCTGTTTGTAGCTCAGCATCTCTTTCGTTCCGTGAGAGCTCGGTTTTCTCGGGCGTTTTGACTCTGGGGAAGGAAGTTTTTTTCCCATGGGCGAAAATTTTGACCGATGCTGTTTGTAGCTCTTTCAGCATCTCTTTTTCTTCCAACAGATTTGCTGTTGATGAAAGGTTTGCTGCAAGCTTTCGCCTTTCTGGATCCTTGGGCGTTTTGGCGCGGTTTAACCGGAAAAGTGTCTCTGCGAGGCCCTGAGCGCTGGGTGGTGGCACCAAGAAGTAATGATTTTGGTGGCTCTCCCAAGGAGCTCGTTTTCGCTGAGGACTACACCTTGAAGCCAGCCAGCAGTTTTCTAATATGGCGAGTTTTATATGGCTTTTTTGGCTGCAGTCGCTCTTCTTTCGCGTTTGTGTGCACACCCGATCCGCCAGCGATCAGCGTGGCCAACTGGATGTACGAGGGATTTTCCGGATGGCTGTAGTCATGTTTATGGCTTCTGGTGTCTGGGTACTGTGCGACGGTTGGATCCACAAGCAGAGAGGCCGCTTTTGACAGAGTGGAGCTGGAGATTGGCCTCGCTTCTTGTCGCCGCACATCTGACTCAGTCCAGTTCAGAGGCTGTGACTTTGTTCGTAAGGATTCATTGAATACTCCTTTGCTGAGGACTTTTCATCACCTCCACCTGAGCTCCTGAATGCGATAACCACATTGCAACTTTTGTTGAACATAGATTGAATGGATACGTCATTTTCTGGGCTGTAATGGATTTTGGCTGAAAACGTTGCTCTTTGAGGTCTTAAACAAAGCACCATGAAATGATGAACGGTTTAAGGCCGTTATGAAGTTTCACTCAACACAAGGAGAAACCGAACCACAATCCAGACGTCAGTGGTACCGAATGGGCACGCAAAACGCAACTACGAAACTTCCTGCTATATGAACCATGCTTGGATATGCAGCAACCAGGGAGGTGAGCTCGAACAGTCCTAAGAGCCTGGCTTGGTTAGATCGACACAAAGTTTGAATAGCAGAAAAGGAACACCATGCTTCGTCGATGAACTCATGTATATCCCCGATGCATTCTATTCCTGTTTTGTCATGACTCCTTGGAAAATCCTAACTATGATGACGGTACCGCGACTGCCATACCCAGTCTGATGACTTGCCCATACCTCAACATATCCCTAATGCTTCCCGGATGAGCGTACTATGTGTACCCACAAGACCGTCTCAATGCGCTTAATTTGTGCCACAACTTGTATGCACTGGCGAACCCAATGTGCTGTCTGCTCATTCTGCCCATAAAGCAAACTAGGGTGCTTCGGTATACCAGTGAAGAATAAACTTCCCTTGCACCAGATATTGCGTGGGCCGACCAGCACAAAATGCAAAAAATTTACCGGCTGACATGAACTCCCGATCTTGGTTGGGAAGCCTGTCGCAACGACAGAAGACTTTTCCATATACAAATTGCAAATTGTCGCCCCAATTTTTTGAGTTTGCACGGATACAGAGGGCGCAATTATTGTACATGCCGTTTTGAGATTGCTTTCAAGCCCATTACAGAATAAAACACGCAGAAGAATAAGCTTTTCTACAAAATTGCACATCGTTATCACAGAGACAATAAGCCAGGCCATTAGCAGCCAATAAAATGCAGGGTCCGGGCCCACAGTTGACTCAGAGTTCGTCTAAACTACACCTAAAAACGTGGCAGCATGCGGAGATTTGAGGGATCTGAACATATACCATCAAACACCAAAGCGCCATATTAAAGATATTTTCCTACAAACTACGGTTTCAGAAAAAATTTGGTGTGCTTCTGAGGCTCGGCAGAAATCACTTCAGCCTCGGCTGCAGCTCAGAATTTCCCGCTCATCGGCCACTAGTATCAGCTCGTTCTCAGTTCCATCCATTAACTGCAAAAAGTGAAACTTATGTGGTAGAAGCAGGTGTCATTATTCTTCTTCTGCGGAATATTTGACGTATACTTGGAAGCCCAACTGAAAAAGCCTAAAATCCCATGAGTGGGATTGCGAAGGCTTGATGTTTATCACTAAATACCGATGCTGCATATATGAAGTACGTATATGAAGGGGATGTAAACCTCGAATTGCCGCGAGCCCAAAGAAACCTGGAGACAACGGCAAATCGAACTCAATCGGCGAGAAACGTTTGCGTGCGGCACGTGCCCAAAAGCACCAGTAAAACGTTCGTCAAAATTGGTTCGACATGTCAAGCGTCAGGAGTTCATGAAGGATTGTGGTTGGATATCGAGCGCATAAGGTGGTCGTGGAAAACAGTGAGTTGAAGCAAGGGAGGGGATTGATTCACAGAAATGAGTTACACACTCATACTCACAGACATCCATTATAACGTTTGTAACTCACTGCTGGAGTATTTCAGGCATGATCTAATGGTACAGTTTGATGAAAGCATGATTGGCGGGATTTATGGGCACTAAGGTTTGCCCAAAAATAGGTAAGTCCGGCAAATAAGGGACATTATATGACGTGGGCGCGGTTGCGCCAAAACCTGCACGATCTAAAATGGTGAAAACTGGTGGAATTAAACAGTTAATAGGGCTTCATCTATCCTTTGGGGAATATATCAAGATGGAACAAGATCAGACCGTTAAAGATTTGAAGCTGGTGGGCGAAAAAACACAAAAGGGGACAAAACCAAAGGTATCCAGCATGACGGAACCTTTAGCTCTCACGACCTAACTGGGCCATGTGTTTCGATTTTCGAATGTCAGACTCAACTTTGCAGACACCCTGAAACACTAAGAGTCGCCTATTTCAATGGATGCTACTGTCCTGTATTCGCGGCTGGTTCTAGATCCTTTGGAAGCCACTACCGATACACCCAAGGCATTTCGAGGCATGCTGCGTCACGGAGTATAAAGCGAGTATTTTCCCGCGCAACCCACAGTGTGAATAACGTCTGCTAAGCTCAGATTCTGTCGTCACTTTGACTCCACTTGTAGCCTTTATCGCATTCCTGTCCATGGGCTCACCGCTTTCTTAATTGTTCCGCGAAGGCACCATATACGCAGGAGTTAATGACCATGTTTTCCCCGGCTGGTGGGTTACATGCTGTGAGTGTGATTTAGATAGTACTCTCAGAATAGTAGTTTAAATGCTAGGGGTTGTGGGCATTCAGGATCGCGCGAAAACGGAGCAGTCACACGGATAGTAGGTATCATACGACGGATACGCGTTGAAGAAAAGGTAGTTAATGTTTCATTTGCTCCCGCGACTTGCCTCTTCCAGTGGCTGTTTGCTGTTCGCTTGTTCGAAATGACTGAGCTGTCCTTACTGGCCTGACTTTCCCCTGACCGGATAAAATATCTGGTAGCTGGAGTTATTTAATAATGCACAAGCCGCACTTATGACTGCTTGGATGGTTTTCTGCCTTTCAGATCTGGTAGCATGAACGAGGGATGAAAACCTCGTGTGGTGGACGGGTACGCCCTGCAGGGAGGGTCGCCCTGTTACGTTGCACCATGGTGCGTTCGTATACTTGCCACCCCTCCAGTAGCACGGGTGTATCGCCCATTGCCGGTGGTTCTTAGCCTGGCCTTTAATTCAGGAAAACCAAAAAAGAGCAGCGTTGCTGTTTGTCTGTAGCTGGAGTGGCCTGGTTCCGGTTGTCACCTGTCCCACAACATCAAGAAATACAAGCGGACGACAGCTGCCTTCCCGTTTGTTCTAAAAAATAAACAAAAGATTATTATAAAAACATTCGTGCATGGGGTGGCCTGAGAGTACCTGTGAGGCTTACGGCTAACGTCGACGTGCAAGGTGTTGCCACTCTCATCTTAGTGGGGTCACAACTAACCTAGTCCACTTCATCACTCAAACATAGCACACATGTTATTCCCTCTTGTCATCTAGAGCGATCATATGCACGAAATGCCGATAACTTATGTTTCCTGATTACAAGCAGTCACAGCTAGCACTAAATGGCGGTTTTTTGCCATGCACCATTCGTTTTCTGGAGCTGAGGGCAGTAACCCGGCGACTAGTGATCCTTAATACCAATTTCCTGTTACGTTGATGAAGCTGTTGCCTGTCCGCTTTTTACTTGTCCACTGTCACTGCTCCCATTAACGTCTCTTCTTGCACAGCAAGGAACAGAGTTTGTGACGCATTGGTGAGCAAAAAAATACCGTCCGCTTTGAACTCGTCTAACAGCTAGCACCCCTGCTAGCTACCTCGACGACAAAGTTTTCACCTTCCTAAAACTAGTCAGTTACTCTGGCCCAACTAGTACTTGGCTTCTAGATCAGCAAACGTATTCAACTTTCTTGGGTCCATTTAGCTTGCTGTCATCCGCTTTTAGATTTTTTCTATTGGCGCCGTCGTATCTTGTGCTTCGTAACACCCGCCACGCGCTACTGCCTTCATTCCTTTTCTTTCTCGTCGCCCCTCTTCCCAAGCTCCAATCCTCGACCGCGGTTGCCCAAACGCCCTTTAGAACTGTTATTCATTCAAACTGGATAGTGCCGGTCTACGCTGACACGGTCTTCTAACAAAAGGGAAATTACCCGTGAGCCTACATCTGCATGACTCCCTGTTTCAATCTACGTCTCACCCAGAACCGGCGTCTCACCACGGAACTGCGTAACCCTTCTCCGATCGCGGCACCCTTGACGACCGTTACGGGGTTTTCCATAGACCGAAGCATGTCAGTGCGATGATGGCATGGCATTGTCTTATCCAGTGAGACGGCACTCCTGCAACTGTTTTCTCCAGAATCTCGACCACAACCCCACGCTCACTCAAGCCTGTAGCCACAACTTCGAGCAGTCCTCATCTGGTCGCGTCTCTGGAATGAGCTCTTCCGTACCCAATGAATTTTCGTTCAGATATGACTGGCCTGGTTTTTCTGCTGCAATTTCGGCTTACCTTCTCCACAAGTTCAAATCCGTATACGGAGTTCAGGTCGCCCTATATAGTAGCGTTTTGCCCTCATCCAACCTGTCCCTTCACCTGACTTCCCCACAACGGTGCAACCAGCGAGTCTGATAAGTTTCAGATTAGGCCACATTTTGAGGCAAAACTCGCCATGTGCTCCTGATTTGAATTATTCCATCTCCGCCTCCACTTTTGCTCGTTGTGACTCCGGCCATTTACCTAGCCGCCCATGGTCACTCATTGCAAGCAATGGTTTTCAGCTTTAGTTCGTGCCAGCTGGCTGTCTTTGAACTGGTCGGACCTCATGTCTATTGTTCCCAACAAGTTTGGAAAGAAACCTATTATTACTATACCATCGAATATTCCCCACTGTTTATGACATTGTCCTCTTTTTTTGCAATCCACACCCCCACAAACCCCCCAGTCATGCTCCATTCTGACTGTAAAACTATGATCATCCCTGACGGTATGCCACCCACAATTTGGGAATAAACCTTATTGTTATTATATCCAACACGGCACGATCAGAACGCGATAGATATCAGGCGCGTTTGGGGAA